TGGACGCCTCCAATAATCCGACAAAGACATAGCACCATCCTCAACTATCTTATCCTCCTTAACTATATCTCTATTTAAGTTCAATCTTCGAACCAAAAGGGGATCCCATCGATAATATTCGAGAGGCAATTCTAAATCCTCATCGGTAAAAATTCTTACTTCAGAAATTGTACGACTACTACTATCTTCGGCTTGAATTGACATCTTTTTCGAAGTCGATAACAGAAAATAGCAGATTGGAAATTGATAAAAAAGACAGCAGAGAAGATTAGGGCAAAGCCTTACCGAAAATCAAGTGTACTCAATTGATGAAGAAATGGAGAAATTACACAAGCAACACAAAATAAGAATAGAAAGAGAGACTTAACAGGATATAAATAGAGAGATGAAAGCAAAGAATTCGAAGATCAAAGGTGAAGAAACCCTTTGCAGTTAAAATTGACGTCTATTTAAAGGTTTTGATTTATTACCGTTGGCAAAATCTGGAAACGGCGCGTGTAAGGGACGTGTCTTGAAACGGTGTAACGTTACAGTAATTATTGATACACGTGGACATGTCCAGAAACGCCATGTCGTTACAAATTTATATCCGTTGGACCCATTAAATGCGGACACATCTTTTAAGAGCCGCCATGTCAGACCAAGTGCCATACAAGAAATTGCAAATACAGCAAAGTGTTCTCATGTCGGTAAACAAAGCAAAACAAGTCGGAATAAAGCAGAACAACAAACGACATCAGCAGTTATTCAAAAAAGCTCCAAATACCTACTAATGTCGGGGGCCTCACTGTTGATATCCGACTTGATTACAAAATTGAAGATGGAGATTAATTGCTTTATTGAAGAAATAATCTTTCAGAAGAAGATGAACTTAAGGCAAGTCGGTATTTATTAGAATTAATTACCGACTTCCGAAGATTATCAAAGGAACCGACTATTGAAACAAATGCGAGTAAACCGACTTCAGTTCAAATATTATGACAAGATGAATCAAGTTTCCTCTATTCAAACCGACTACCACAAAGTCCAAATATCCAAACAGAAAACAAAGCTGGAAGCATCTGATTGGACCAGCAAAACGAAAAAGTAATCATTGATGTTTCCCACCTCTTAAAGTAAAGCAGCTCAACATTAAATGCGTCTTGATCCATTTCAAGGAAGGAGACAAAAACTACCGTACTATAAATAGAAGAATTTATAATAGTACGAGGATCTCTTTCCAACACATTGTACATGGACTTGTAATGATCTCGGTTACACAATAAAAACCGACTCCTGTACTCTTGTGACTATATCAAATAAAATCAAATTTTACGATTATCTCTGTTTCTTCACATCAGCTGTATTTAATTTCAAGTTGTTAATTCTAGACAACAACAGAGGAGATTTTACATATGGGAGAAAATATATTTACAAATAATTTTGAAAGAGTTTAAAATTAATTATTTATTATTATTATTATTAATTTTTAATTAAGATTAAAGATTAAATAATAATAATAATAAAATAATGGATGGGATGGGATCCCACGTCACATTAATTATTCTTGTATTAATTTGTAAAAGTGATACAAGACTTTTTAACATTTCTTGTGAAAGTTATTCAAGACATAAATATTTTAAGTTGAATTTCTTTCCATTTCTTGTGAAAGTTATTCAAGACATCAATATTTTATACTTAAATTTTTAGTATAAATATGGACATACTTGATGTTCATAATTGCTAAGTTTGTAAGAAAAATTTAAGTCTTGAAAAATTTAAGAAAGATAAGAAAATTTATAATCTTTCCAAAAGCAAGAAAAGTTCTTGTAAAACTCCTCATATACAAATATTCCTATACTTATTAGAAAACCGAGTAATTTCTACTAGCGAAGAAATTATCTTTCGGAGTCGAATTTAAAAAGGTGGATACTATTAGAGGGAAGACGATTGGATTCCTAAAGTGAGTAACAAGAAGAATTGATCATTACTAAACCGAGAATTGATTTCCTCTTTCATCGTCAAAGTTGAAGGAGTTCAAGTTAAGGTAACTTCGAAACTATCTTCAAATCAAAATTTGTATTAATACATGTTTTTAAATGATGACGATCTGTTTATTCGCTTTATGTATTTATGGGTTGAGTATTTATATGATGAATACTTGTTTTTAAAATTTTATTCCGCTGCAAATCACCCGTATGGTACAGGCGAACCCAACAAGAATAACATAAAGGTGAATGTTTACAAGGGAAAAACCCCAATTCCGAACACTTGGGAGAACAAGCCACAGGCTTGCCTAAACACAACTAACAAACCATGCAATACAGCTAAGCACAAAATCAGAAAGAGCAAACCTAGGACATATAGCAACAGCAAGAGAAGCTAGCCCAACACTACATATACAACTTCAGTAGTTCCAGCACAAATTACAACCATACACAAGACACATAACCCACAGACACTAGACCTAGGTTACAGACTTGGTACTCCAATCATCCAATGTTGTGCCTGCATTTGTAGTCAAGCCAGTCTCTCAAAGCAGCCCTTACAATTTACTCCTCCGGTTGCCATTGGCCTTCAAACACACACAGGTTCCTAGCTCTCCAAAGCCACCACAAAATGTAGGTGGAGAGCTGAATCCTGTCTTCAGAAATGTCATCATGCTTCATATTGCTTATCCACCACCACCACTATTTAACAGTGAGCTTCTCTTCAAAGACCCTATTCCATTGGACTGGGGAAAGTTTCCAAACTAGCACTGCTTTCCTGCAAGAAAAGAGTATATGCTCCTGAGTCTCTTCTCCTTCCCCACAGACTCCACATCTATCCTCAACAAGCATTCCCCTCTTCTGTATGTTTGAGTAACAAGTAGAATATCTGAAATGGCCTGCCACACAAAGTGTTTAACCTTTCCCATCACCTTCAGATCCCAACATCTTCTTCTAGCTCTCTTATTACCTCCAGCTTGCCCATTGCTCTCAGCAACTGTAGATGAAGCCATTTTAGCAGCCAACAGATTGCCATAAGCCTTCTTGACTGAAAATTTGCCCTTGTCAACCAAGTCACATTGTCTTTTATCCTCAGTTCTAGGGTTCATTGAGTTTATCTGCATGATTTTGTCAGCATCTTCTTATGAAACCAAGGCTCTAGTAAGAATTCCATCCCATTGCACACCACCAGCCAACAGAAGATCTTTAACCCTGAAAAGGCTGCCATTTATCCCAACTTTATGTTCTGGAGTAGCTCTGTTCAGGCCTGGAACCCAATTTGGCTCATTAAGTCTGGGGCTCTGTCCATTCCTGGTAATGACTCTAACATGCTTCTGCAGATTAGGAAGATAAGAGGCCCAAGATGACCAAGGCCAAGATGCACCCCCTGTATTATGCCATTCAAAGATAGAGCAGCTTTTAAAATATTTGTTCATTAGAAGCTGGCTCATCAGAAGATCAGGCTTTTCAATAATCCTCCACAACTGCTTGAGAATTAAAGCCTTATTGAACAACTTCAAATCTTTAAATCCCAGGCCACCATCAGTTTTAGGCATAGCAAGTTTGTCCCAGAAAAGCCAATGCATCCCTTTCTCTTTNCCCCCCCCTTCTGCCACCAGAACTTGGATATTATTCTGCAAATCTCCTTGCAGATACTAACAGGAATCACAAAGCAGGACATCACAAACACAGGCAAAGCACACAAAACACTTTTCACCAACACCTCCCTGCCTGAGAAGATAGAAAATTATTCTTCCAACTATTGACTCTATCTTTCACCATATCTACCACAAATTGGAAAGTATCAATTTTAGAAGCCCCAATCCCAAGGGGTAGGCCAAGATACCTAGATGATCTTTTAACTTCAACCACATCCAACAAAGCAGATAGCCTAGCACTAAGATCAGAATTCCCATTTTTGCTCAAGAATAAGGAGGATTTACTCAAATTAACTTTTTGACCAGCAAACAATTGATATTTAGCAAGGATATCCAGCAACAACGTCACATGAGACTCATCAGCCTTATAGAACACTAGTGCATCATCAGCAAACAGCAAATGGAAAATCATGGGGCCATCCTTTGAAATTTTAATGCCTCTGAACTCACCAGCAAAAATTTTATGGTTTAAACAAGCTGATAATACTTCAGAAACCAGGATAAAAAGACAGGGGGACAGTGGATCCCCCTGCCTGATTCCCCTGGAAGAGGTCACATAGCCATACACTTTGCCATTGAGATTGAAAGAAAAAGAAGGAGCAGCAATGCAACTTAACACCCACTGAATAAATTTAACATGAAACCCCATCCTCCCCATCACTCTCCTAATGCTCTCTCATTCAACCCTGTCATACGCCTTTTCCATATCCAATTTGAGAGCCATAAACACATGTGGCCCTGAACTGTGTCTATGGAGATAATGGAAAATCTCATGAGCTATAACCACATTATCTAGCAATAATCTACCAGGCACAAAAGCAGTTTGAGCATTACTGATACACAGCTCCAGACAAGGCTTCAATCTCTCAGCCAACAACTTGGCAATAATCTTATACATCACCCCGCATAGGCTAATAGGTCTATAATTTTTCAGAGCTTCAGGATACATGCATTTAGGGACTAGAGTGATGATAGTATGCTTCAAATTTTTCAACATATGGCCAGATGAGGAAAAACTACAGATAGCTCTACATGCATCATCTTTAATAATATACCATAATTTTTGGAAAAAGATAGCAGTCATACCATCATCGCCAGGTGCCTTCTCAGGAGCTAGATTGAACACCACAACTTTAATTTCATTCTCTGCAAAAGCTTTCACCAAATCAGAGTTAGCAGCATCAGAGATAAAAAAAGGAATGTGTTGAAGCAGCTCCTCAACCCCCCCTTGAACCTTCTGAAGTAAACAGATGAGACTAATAACTAGAGATATGGTCTTGTATGGCCTCATGAGTGGTAAACACCTCCCCTGAGTTGCTGGTAAGTTTTGTGATTGAGTTAGCATGTCTTCTCTGAGAGACAGGCATGAAAATACTTTGAATTACAGTCCCCAGCTTTGAGCCACAGAGCTCTAGATTTATTCCTCCAATACTGTTCTTCCTCTTGATGGGCTTTATCAAGGTCACTCTTCACTGCTCCCCACTGCTCCCAATCTCAATCCTTTCCCTCATTCCTCATAACAACCATCTTCTCATACAGGACTTTATAATCCTTTCCTGATTTCTGTGATATGGTTTGTGCCAGGCAAGTAAAGCCATTTTGGTAAGCTTAATCTTCTGGTGCACCTGGAATAATTCTGCCCCCTCCACACAAATCTGCCACCCTTCCCTAACAGCCTCAGAAATTCCCTCCATCTCCACCCAGCCACTGTTAAATTGAAATCTCTTGTGCCTTTTATTCAACTCTTGTTCAGTATCAAAAAGCAACACATTATGGTCTGAGGCAGATCTAAAGTAGTTTGAGGCCTCCATCCTAGGAAATCTAACCATCTAGTCAAATGAGATAAAAATTATGTCCAGTCTCTCTTCAACATAGCCATCCTCAACCCTGTTGTTACCCCATGTGAAAAAGGATCCCTTTTGAGCTACTTCTTGCATCTCCATGTTATTAATAAATTCCTGATACCCCACAAAGCTACTAGGGCTCCTAACCAGACCACCTCTCTTCTCCTCATTTGACACCAAATCATTTCAATCCCCTACAATCACCCACCCATCTGTTAGAGTAGGATACCCGGCGTTCCAATCAGATTGGACGTATTCTACTTGTAAATACAATCTATTGGAATTATATTAATTAAAAAGACATTACTTTATTTTAAGGGTAAGCATTTATCCTATATTTGCACTAAAGATAAAATCCGTAGATCACGTATAGCTATAAGGTATGGTTGCGCATAGAGATGGTGATCATGGAACATACCTTGAAAGCTGTGATCTTAAATACAATTCCAAGTCGTTGGATGTTTCGAGATGGGATATCGAATAAATCCGGAAAAGACTTGCACATATAATGTATACTTGTTGGACAAGAATGTTGCATTCCATCAACATTAGCGTGGGACGCAAATACATATATGTGGGTGCTTGTTAGAGAACAAGTTCACTGAATATGACCGTATGAAAATTCTTAATGAGAATTTATCTGTCGAATAAGAATTTTCATGTTACAATAGTACATGATTAATCCTTAGACTTGAGGCACGATGGTAACTTTGTGTATATTATATTTTACTTTGATTTATCCTTTTGATTGCTAGCACAATCGTACAAAGGGATATTTTGGGTATTATATTAATATATATGGAAGTTTGTCATTGGCCAACAAAGGATTCGACACTTATAAAGATAAGTGAATTTCCTATGTGTTTCATAGTTAGTAATTCAAAGTCATTGGCCAAGGCGGGATGAATAGAGATTCATAAACGAATTACTAAACTTGAAATGGAATCATAGTTATTAAATCAATTTGGGTTTCGACAAAATCATACCCAAGATTTAAACGGGAAATTGGATGTGGAAAGGATTTTACATGTATGGACTTGTAATCGAAATAGGTTTACTCGCTATTCACTTAATACTAGATTCATGCTACTTGCTAGATGTTCCCATGATATGTGGGTTCCTGAATTAAGGAGTTAATTCATGAATAAGAGTAACTCAAATTACAAAGAGTTGTAAGCCCACTACTAGTATTAATTGTGAACCTAAAAGGTCACACCAATTTTTGAATGAAGGTAAAATTCAAATAGTAATTCTAAAGAGTTAGAATTAATTGACAAAACTAATTTGATTAGATGTCAATTAAAGGAATATATTAAATTAATCAATTAGATTGATTAATTGAATTTTTGGATATTAATTTAGTAAATAATGGAATTATTAAATTAATAGTTGGAATTTAAAATTGGATTTTAAATTTCAAATCCAAATAATAATATGATTATTAAATGAGGAGATGGGAGAAAAGATTAAAATAATAAAGTCTTGAAAAAGAGTTTTCAAGAATTATTATTTTATTAAAGATTAAATATTAATAAGAATAAATTAATTATGGTGGTTTGGAGTTGTTAACCACTCAACATAATTAATCTTATTTTTATTAATACAATATTTAGTGGGAATAGTCTTGTTCAAGATTGAATATTTTATGAAAATAATCTTGAAGACTTTTTATATTTTATGAAAATATTCCACCAAGTATTGTTATTTTATACTAAAATGTTTAGTATAAATATGGACATACTTGATGTTCATTTTTGCTAAGTTTTTGGCTAAGTTTTTCAAGAGTTGAAAAAGAGAGAAAAGAAGAAGTGTTCTTCAAAATATAAAACAAGAAATAGTTCTTGTAAAAATCTCCTCATAAATATATTCTATACTTATTAAATAAAAACCGAGTAGTTTCTACTAGCGAAGAAACTATTACGGAACCGAATTTCAAAAGATGGACATGATTAGAGGGAAAACATTTGGATTCCTAAAGCGAGGTAACATCAATAAGGGGATGTTACCAAACTGGGAATTGATTTCCTCATCCATCGTCAATTTTGAAGGAGTTCAAGAACAAAGGTAAATTTTAATTTACTTATAACAAATCAAAATTTGTATTATTACATGTTTTTAAATGATGACGATTCGTGCATTCGCTATATGTACGTATGGGTTGAGTGTTTATACGATGTATACTTGTTTTTGAAACATAATTTTCCGCTGCGTATAACCCGTACGGTACAGGCGAACCCAACAGTGGTATCAGAGCCACGGTTATCATCTTTAAAAGTAGATTTTGATTTGTTTATGTTTATATGATAAACATTCTTAATTGTTAAATTATATAAATTTGTTTGTGATACAAAAGTTGTATTTGATTTTAATTTCGGGATTAATTAAATGAATCGAATTGTTCGAGTTCATACGGCCAGAAAATGTTTCTGATCAAGTGAAAAATATATATATACAAGTTGTTGTGTATATATTGAAATTAGTTTCATGATTAATTAATTATAATCAATTGTTGATTAATATATATACAAGTTGTTGTGTATATATTGAAATTAGTTTCATGATTAATTAATTATAATCAATTATTGATTAATATATAAATACATAAAGATGTATTATTGCAAGTCTTAATTGTCATGACTCAATTGTTGAGTTATAGATAATGTATCTATTTGTCCAATATAAATGTCATGGGATGATATTATTTAAAAAATAAAAAATAAAATTATGAATAGTCACACTGGTCGTGTGACTATGTGACACGGGTCGTGTGACCTCACACGGGTTGTGTGAGACGCCACACGAGTCGTGTGGACAAATGGACAATTATAAGTTGCTTGCGGCTTTTTCACACGAGTCGTGTGACCACTCGTGTGATCACTCGTGTGACCACTCGTGTGATATAAAAAAAAAATATATATTTTTTTTCTTAATTATTATGAACAGTTAAGTTTTTGATTATTAACTATTATGAATAGTTAATAATATTATAATCCCAAAAGTAAATCAACACACAAAAGATGAAAAATTTGTATGATTCATAAAAATTCGATTTTTCCACACGAGTCGTGTAGGTCCACACGAGTCGTGTGAGTAATAACACGAGTCGTGTGGCTCATCAAAATGTTTGATTTTGCTTTAAAGCAGGTCCACACGAGTCGTGTGAGTAGTCACATAAGTCGTGTGGCTTATCAAAAATGTTTGATATTGCTTTCGACAATTTCACACGAGTCGTGTGGCATTTTTGACACGAGTCGTGTGGCATGACACGAGTCGTGTGACTAAAATAAAATTATTTTTATGCTTTAATTCATGTGATGAATGTTTTAGCATATTAAGAGATGATCATGAGCCTTTTCAATATGATTGAATGTTTGCATTTTATTCAATATGATTGAATGATTGTAATTTATCGAGACCTGCGAGTCTCTTGAGTTATGATTTGTAAAATTTTAAATTTTGTATCGTTAAAAGATTAGATCAAGGTGGAGACCGTTCGATGCAAAAGGCCTACGCTTGTGTGGGTAATTTTACAAGTTGTAAATTTTGAAGGCCTGTGCTTGTACGGGTAGATAAAATAAAATGTAATAGAAGTAGTTCTATTTATTTGTTTTATCACGTACATAGGCATAGACCCATTTTGGCTCGAATGGGTCGTATTGGCAAGGTCATGATCATCCCACCGTATGCATGCATTAGATGTATGTTAGGTTTATTTATGCTTGTGATTCATGCGATGAATAATGCGATAAATAAACACATGTAAAGATGGTAATCGATGAGATCTAAGGAACCCAAAAAGAATTAATTTGATTAATTCTATATCAAATCAATATGGATAAAAATAAGTTGGGACTTATTAATCCAGGACTTCCATCAAAAGTAAACGACATGAGATGCTACGATGTTTTATCACCGACCATGAGTCGTGGGGTGATTCTATGTCGAAAGCTGTGATCCCTACTAAGTATAGAGATACTCGCGAGACGGATTCCTCTTTGTGTTGACCATGAGTCGTGGAACACTCTGATGGGCCGTTAACATGAATGTTTGATGGGTTTGATTTGACACCTAGTAATATATACGGTCATAAAATTGAGGTATATAAGGAAAAGTGAGACAAAAATATCTTGAAGGTTGTATAGAGATACAATTGTCAAAAGTTGACTACCGATAAAAATGTTTCATGCGTACTCATAAAATTGGGATATGGAATATTTTTATTGGACTTCAAGCCCACTAAGAAAATTAGATTATCATAATTAAAATAGGGTTTTAATTAAAATAGTGGGAGATATTTAATATTAAAGACCTAATATTAAATGAATATAAAATCCATAGTCTAACTATTTCTGCTTCGTTAAAATCCAAGAAAAGGAAAGGGAACGGAAAAGTTCCCTATAAACCTAATAAAGGGCAAATAACAACAAAGGTAAGAACAAAGAAAAGTTCAATTCTCAGACTAATCATGGATGTTATCATTGTGGTAAAACTGGGCATTGGAAGAGGAACTGCAAGGAGTATCCTGCAAAGCCTGAAAAGTTCAGGTATTTTTTAGATAATCATAGTTCTTTCACAATTTGGCATGCTAGATTAGGTCATATATCTAAAAAGAGGATACACAAATTGGGACCAAAACTCGACCTTAGGGGAGAGGAAAGGTTGCCTACATGTGAATCATGTCTTAAAGGTAAAATGACAAAATCACCATTTGTTGGACAAGTGGAGCGAGCTAAAGATCTGTTGGATTTGATTCATACAGATGTTTGTGGACCACTAAATGTTAGTGTCAAGGGGAACTACCACTACTTCATAACTTTTACTGATGATTTTTCATGGTATGGTTATGTATACCTATTAAGGTAT